GCAGCTGGAAAAGTGGGAGGTGTAGAATTAGGGGAAGGGAAACGAGATTAAAAGAAGCGAATGGAGAGATAAAATGAGTGGAAAGTACCAACAGGCCGATGGAAAAAAGAAATTCTAGAGGGAATCCATAATTACAGTTTAATCCGCCCCAGAAACTAAAGCTTTACAGATAGACGTGGATTGCAACGTTGATCGGAGATATCCGAGTGGTTTCAAAATGAGTAGTCAACTGTGATAAGTAATTCAATGAATTCTTTCGGAAAAATGGTTCAATCAGGTTGCTTCAAGTCTCGATGATTATTCTCGCTGAGTATTTATTTTCGGTTCAAAGGCTGTTACGAGGAGTGATATTTGAACGTGAGTTTTTAAAGAATTGAAGGGGATCATTTCTTATTCGTCTTCTATTGCTTTTCGAAACTACTCTCGGAGCATCAGGGGGATTATAGATTGTAACAATTAATCATTTTATTTTTTCTCAAATTAAATTTTGAGACAGTAATGTGACCATTTGCATAAACAGTGGAATTCGCTGTTACAGACTCATGGAATTTGTTATAATTAATGGCCTCAAATGATATTTTTTATCATTTGCTTTTATTTATATTTTATTTGTTATATTTCATATTTTTTATCAAGTGATATTTTTTATTACTGCTGAATGATTTATAAATTGAGTTTTCAATAATCCGATGCAGCGAAATATAGATATTATGAATATTGATGAAATATAAAAAAATAAAAAAACAGGTACAAAAAGCGCTAACAACAAAATCATAAATAAATGAATTGCTGATTGGGATAAGTAGTTCAATTAAATCTTTTCATATTCACTGAAAAATGGATCTGTAGTTTGCACCAATGATTCATAATTTCTTAGCAAATGTTCATTTCTTATAAAAAATCGTTTTACTAGGGAAATCGTTTCTGATGAAAAACGAGAAGTCAATGCCAATGTACCAAATATTTTAAAGGGATCGTTTTGTCTCTGCCAGTTGGTTTTTCCTGCCAATGATCGATGTACCGTGAAAACTCCTTCAGATGGATAGCCCCACCTTGTAAAAAATCTCTTCAATGTAAGATGGGACTCGATCATTCGTCTCCTGTCCCATTTTTGTCACTGAATGTAATCTCAATTGTTACATCTATGTATGATATTTATCATCCCCATGTTCCAGGAGGGTTCTCGCGGTGATCGGAAAGAGGGGGGCAAGCGAGGACGCAAGCCCGGAAGGAAAGCGGCCGACAAGGCGGACATGAGAGCCAAGCTTGGTAAGTGCACTACGCAGTAAAGTGGATACTTCCCAAAAAAACGACCGAGAGCGAGAATGAATTATTTACGAGAAGATATTCCTTTGCGAATGCTTCAAAATTTAAGAGTTTCGAGTTGAAGAAGTAATCGTTGGAAATGACACCATAAGAGTATCTTTAATTATTGCATCGTGTTACGGATAATTTCAATCAGGTTATTCTCAAGTTTGATTGATTTGTTTGAACAAAAGTATACTTTCGGTCGTTTTGATTTAATTGATTGTTCAAGGATAATTTTTTTGTTTTCAATGAGTCGATTTTTTAATTTTTTTTTTATTAAGCATTTTTAAACCTTAGAGGTTTAATTTGCATACAATTAATAAAATATAAAATTTTAACACTTAGAACTTAGGTTACATTGGTTTTAAATTTTTATCGAACATTTATCCAAGAATTCACTAATGATGACATTATAAAAGTCGATTTTTTAATTGATTATTAGTTTAGTTCCTATGAATTGCAGTTTGAAAGTTTAATGGATTAAGTTTTTAACGATGACGGTTCGATATAATTTGTTATTTTATTTTCAATGGTGACACTTGAAGCTAATTACGTTATTTATGAATGATTGGAATTGAAATAATTTATTGTGCGTTGTATGTAAAGAGATGTGTGATTTTGCAAGTAATTTTCAATTGGTTCTGAATTCGCGATAATTAATATTATGTAAATCAATTTAATATTTCCGAGATATAGTTAATTTACATATTATGAATGGATACGATGAAATATTCAATGGTCAATATATTGTATGCGCCCGGACTGCCAGAGCAGAACTGATCTAAATTTTGTCAGACGTGCTACGACCGGTCTCTTTATGGAGCTGTGTTTCGTACAAAGGGCCTCTTTGTTACCACATATCGGGTGTTTTGCTATAATTTCGGAGCGCGAAACTGAAGTTAGCTAAGGGCAATGAGGGATTCAAAAACTCGACAAATATTCCAACGTTACAATTCAGTATGAAATTGACGATTGGAATTGACAGATTCATAAAATCGTTATAAATTGAATAATTAAAATATTAATTTTGAATCATTAATACATTTTCAAGAAATTTAATAAACACTTCATTTTGAAATGGAACACTAATAACGATTCGGTTGAAAGGTAATCTAGTAGTATTTATCCCAATAGTATTCACCTGTTTCCTTTGTTCTATCATCATGATAATTCGTACACTGATAGAAAGGATTAGTTATTGTTAACAAATGGATTTGGTTGGAGGCTAGAGTCTATTCGGTCTCACCAAATGTTCATTCGTTAATAGTTAACAAATGCATATTTGAGTAGCCTTGTTTCACTCGACTTTCACCTTTCAAGTGAGCCATTTGTTAACTATTAACGAATATTCATTTGGTCATATTCAACTCTACCATTCGTTAATAGCTGACGAATCTCGTTTGGAATAAATAAATTATTCTATCAGTGTACTTGTTTTTATCATCGTGTTAGCAAAATTTTCGATAAACTCCTTTCCTTGCGTTTCTGAATACACGGCGTTTATATTTTCAAGACCAAGGCTTGGAATTTTTTATCGTCATGTCTAATACCAATACTGTGAACAAATATTTTCTGGATATTTGGCCTGATATGACTTAGAAAAGAAAAACTTTAATAGAAGTATTGAAACACGATTTTTCTACGCAAATAACATCATGCGTAATATCACTTGACATCTAATTCCTGAAAATGACAAAAGGATAGGTTGAATCATTACTGGAAGGTATTCCGTTACGCATGTTGAAAAAGACAAGAGCTTCCATTTGAGAGAACTTCTTTGTTGAAAATGATATCACGAGAATATCTAATAATGATTCTGTTGAAAGATAATCTAGCACTATTTATCTCAATTGTACTCACATGTTCCCTTTGTTCCATCATCATGATAGTTCCCAGATGTTCTTATCACGGTGTTAGGGAAACTTCTGGACGACTCTTCCCCTCGCATTTCTGCATACACCGCGCTTTTTTTCAAGACAAAAGCATGTAATTATCTTGTCGTAATGTGTAATACTAGTACGGTGATAAATATTCCGGGGATATTTGAGCTTCGAAGGGTTTCAAGAGCTATCAAAATTTTGATATTCATGATTTTTCTACGCAAATAACGTTATGAGATGAGTGATATATAATACCTGAACATGACGCAGGGTTAGGTTGAATTATGTACTCGGAGATATTTCTTTATGAATACTTAAATATTCAAGAATTTCAGTCAACATTCGTAAAAATCTCATTGTTAAAAATAACATCACGAGAATATCTAATAACGATTCTTACTGTTTACTTCAATCCTACTCACATGTTTCCTTGATCCGATCATTAGCATAGTTTCTGTTTGTTGTTATCAGGGTATTAGAGAAACTTTCGGAAGACTCACCCCCGTGCATTTCTGAATACATACACCGCGGCATTCTGAATACGTATACTGCTTTTTTAAGATAAAAACTTGTAATGTAATAGTTAATAATTTCACTCACAATACACGGACAGGAATATTCAATAAAAATTACCAGAAAAAAGACGTAAAAATTTCGTTTCGAAACGTAATCTGGGAGCGAAGTAAAATTCAATAAAAAGTGTCAATCGTCACGTAAATTCTACGATCTGTTCCGTAAAAATTACTCATCCGTCCGACGCCTCACGGCCATGAGTCACCGTGAGGGAGAAATTTTAACAACACGTTCCGTAATTTTTCCGGAATTTTTCGTAAAAATTCTTAAACATCCAAGAATTTTCATGTTCTGAAGCATAATAAGTCTTGAAGTTTCTGTTAGATATCACGATTTCCAGAAAAATTACGTGACTTTTTCGTATTTTTTCGGTGACAGACCCGAAAATTTACTGAAGATTTCAGATTTATTCTCTTATATTCCTATAGAAATGCACTGAAAACGATTCTCGCTTGCGGATTACGTGAAATATTCCGTAATTTTTGTTGAATATTTCTCTCCGTGTAGTCGTTATCATTGCTCATTGCTGTGTCTCATTAAATCGTTCTGCCAAAGGTCTCTTCTATTTGAGATCCATATTTATTCCCGTCGTTGAGAAGAAACTTTACTTTATTGGAGATGAACTGAATAAATAATCCTTAAATCTGGCAGTTGAAATGTCACGTGGCTGTTCACCTCCAGATTATTGTTACCGTAGAATTTTTTTAATAAGGTGAATTTTATTAAAGAAATACCGAATTCATAATGAAAAATTTCGGATTTTTTATTGGCAAAAATACTTTTCCCCTCCGAAAATCCAATATCGCGTAATTTGTCTGAAATTTTCTACAACTCTATCGGTACTGAAGTTATTTCTTAATAAAATTATGAAAAAAGAGAGTTTCGACCCTTTTGAAGACTGACATTTTCTTTCTCAGGAACTAGGTCATCTCGAGGGATGTTATAGGTAAATTTGGAATCAGTGTGCAAAAATCTTTGTAGTGACAGCTGTCTCTTTATGCCAGGAAGGGTCGGCATTGTGTAGAAGGATGGTATTTACTTGGAGCTTATTTCCTTGCCAATCTTGGAGAGTTCAGGAGCTTCCATTTGAAGAAACTCCGTTGTTGAAAGCGACACCACGGGAATATCTAATAACAATGCTGTTGGAAGATGGCCTAGTGTCATTTATCTTCCTGATTATCCCCCTATTTATCTCAATCGCACTAACAGGTTTTCCCAGTCCCATCACGATGCGTATTCTCATCTTTTCTCATAGTTCCCTTAGTTCGGGAAACTTCTAAGGAACCTCTCCCCTCAAATTTCTGAATAACACGGAGAATTTCTTAGGACAAATACTTGGAATTATTTTGTCGTTATGTTTCAAATCAGTGCGGTGATAAATCCTTCTCGGATAGCTAAACTCGACGGGCTTCGAAAAAGTATCCAAACTTTAACATCCATGATGTTTCCACTCCACTCGAATAACATTACGAGTTATTCCACTTGACATCCAATACCTGGAAGCCATGACTGATTACAATGAATTATTTACCAGAGGATATGCCCTTGCGGATCTTAACAAATTTGACAGCATCATTTAAAAAAAGAAGTTTATTGTGAATGACACCACATGAAGATCTTTAACAATAATTTAGAAGACAGCCTAGTGTCATTGATCCCAGTCGTACTCAAATGTTTCCTCATGTTTTCCCAGTCCCCTCACGATGTTGTTCCTATTTGCTCTTATCATTGAGTTAGGAAAACTTTCGAAAAGGTCTTTTCTTGAGACATTTCAACGTACAGTGATTTTTCTCAGGACAAACACTTATGATTATTTTATTGTCAAGTTTCACACCGGTGTAATAAGCAATCGTTAACAATAATTCAGTTACAAGATGGCGCAGCGTTATTGATCTCAATCTTACTGACGTTTTTTCAGTTCCGTTACGATTATTGTCCTTAAAAACTTCAGAAAAAGGCTTCTTTGCTTTTTGAAACATTTTTGTAATCTCCATATTCATCTCATTTGGATAATTATCGGTTAGTTTCAATAAATAAATACCTCAGGTTCACCAATTACTCTACCGAATATCATTATGTACTCACTGTAGGTAGATTTATCTCCAATTTAAAAGGACCAAGGGAGTTATTCCTAACAATATACGGAGAGAATATTTCTAGAAAAATTCTATTGCTAGTAGAGGAAAAAGGGCGCCGAATGACGGCCAGGGACAAATTCCTGTACTGGCACTGGAACTTTTATTGAGTAGCACGTCAATTTGTCTCGTACTTGAATGAATTTTTCACTGAAATCCCTAGAAATTGTACCAGAGAGCCCTAGAAATTTTACCTTAGCAGCACCAGAATTTTTTATAGCCAGTCGATTGTATTTTTTTCCAACATTCGCATTTGAATTCTTCCGAAGAATGTCTCTCCGTGTAGAATTCAAAGAACTTTCGAAAAAGTTTTCCTCTAGGCTCCCCTAGGCTCTGTGATTTTATCAAGAACAAATATTTGTAATAGGCTTATCGTGAAGTTCCAGACCAGAACACTAATTTGTAGCTATGTTTGAAGAAGAATATGAATCTTTCATCTAGCAGAACTTTATAGAACTACAAAAAGTACCATAACTTCCGTATCCACGATTTTTCCCCTCAAATAATATTACGAACAATATCTCGTGATATCCAATACCTGAAATCAGTCAGCCGTTTCCTTTTTAATCTCCAAAACTATCCGAATGTTATTGGTGGCTTAAGCGCCGATCCCATACCGGGGTTACGATATATAAACAAAGCTATCGGGCATCAAGCGGTCTCACCAATCGAAGTACCCATGGTGCTTAACGCAGCTTAAGCTGGAGTAATTCCACTGAAGCACGGTGATCGTACAGTTACTACTGTGGGTCACGGCGATAAAGTTGTATACCCCCGAATTATTGATGAAAGAAATCCCACAAGTTCCTGAATTCATTATCCTTCCCAGCCCGAGAAAATGTTGTTGGAGAAAGGAAGACTCATTTGGTAAGACCGTAATGATTATTACTTCAATGATAATAATGACCCGCGATGAGATAAAATGATCTGACCAGTCATATTGTTATATTGTGATTTCTAATAAGTAAATGCATGGGTTGAAATTAAGATAGGAAGCAAAAAACTATACATTATCAATAAATGTGACAAAGTTCATGACTGGAGAAAATTTGATGATTGTCAGATTTATGAGTGCTTCGGTAGTTGATTGTCAGAGGACTGCTGAAAGTATGACTGAAATCTGAGATGAGGAAATTCAACATGACTATTATCAAAAAAAAATTTTCTAGGTTTCAGTAGTAGTCTCAAAATTTCAGAACTCTGTCACGAGAACGTTTACCGCAGAAAATGTAGAATTCAAATTTATTCCAAGATTCTCCTCAGAAATTGAACAAATAAAGTTTTGATTCCGTATAATTCTCTGTTTGAAACTAAAATTATCGCGCCTGAATTCACCAACATTTTCGGTTATTGAAAACCTTGGTTCTTAAATTTTAAAGATTTCCTTTCTTGAATTGATTATTTTTTCTAGTCTGAAGGTAAAATCTACCCATGTTTAATAATTTATTCAATTAATATTAAATCACAGTTCAACTATTCCACGATTTAATTCCTTTCAAACGTTCTCACTTTAAGAACTTTAATTTTCTTCATTCGAGACTTCACCTGTTCTTATTTCAAACATATTCTCTACTCCAAACGTAGGTTCTCGGTACATGATTTTACCGAATTTTCTTCTTGAAATTGAGCAAACAGTTTCCTATGCTAACGACAATGTTAATTCATCCAAGGCATGTTAAACCTTGAATTTCTTAAAATCGTTAACTTTGTTCTGAAAACTAGAAACTTTTTCTCCGTAAATTTTCTTTCGCCTGATGTTATTTCGCATTTCTAGATATAACCTACTTTTTCAAATGGCGAGTTAACCACATAGTTTATCAATAATTTTCAACAGAACGCAGTCGGCAGAGTGCGAGGGAGTGCCGTGCTCGTAAGAAGCTGAGGTACCAGTACTTGGAGGAGTTGGTGGCCGACAGGGAAAAAGCTGTTCTCGCCCTCCGCAAAGAGCTCGATATGGTAATTTGGTTTGTTTTTATAACTATCCCTCAGCTACTCTCCGTTCGCACAATTTTTGTTTGCTGAGAATTCATAAAAATTGATGCCGAGAAAACACGGTAAACTCAGTAATTCATCGGTGGACAATTATTTTCCCAGTTATTGATTTCGCTATAAAACCCTGTTGTTACGTTTTATTCCTAATCAAACTGATTCATATTTGCACTTCACTTTCCACCTCCGGACTCTTGATGAACTAGGTGACAATATAGAACAAACAAAACTCCTGTCAACAGAAATGTTTTTTTCTGTGTGTACTGAAACTACCGGTGGCACAAGCGATGGACAATTCCGTTCTTTTTGTTACTTATATCTACTGAATCCACACCACAAAACAGTCCCAACAGCACGAGCTTTTTGTTCTTATATTGGTGTTTGTTCATAGGGAGTCCCTTCTATTTCTTGCCAAGGCTCGAGAAAATAAAGCCCTACCTCCCGATTACACTTACAAGGATCAAATATAGTGGGATCAATACTACAGCAAGTTTTCCGATATTAATTACATCGGGTATTCTGTTCTCGAGTTTCACGGTTCAATCCATCAATTATGTAAATTTCGTGAAATATTAATTTTCCAGTATCGATCGTGGGGACAAGAACTCGACGCTGGACGTGTTCCCGAGGGGCTGCAAACAATGCTTGAAGAACTTGGAGCCCTCAAGAAGGAAAGGAATAATAATTAGTCTATAACACAACAAAGTACCTCTTTAAAATAAGGATTCAAATTTATCATGCTGTTTTTGGTTTTTTCGTTGAGTATTAATTGAACTGAATCATTGGTATTATTAAATTTTGTGACATCATCTCTATGTACGAAATTTTTATTTGAACAAAGTACTCTTTTTTTCAAATTCATTGATATCTCTTGCATTATTTCTCTTTAGCGTTATCGTCCTAATATTTTTCGTAACAACTTCATGTTGAGAATGTATTAGCATTACTAAAAATATATGGCTACAAATACAGAAAAAGAAGGGAAGATTTTCCATGTTGTTTACCTTGAATAATTGCATACCTCGGATAATTAGAAGAACAGATTTTATTCACATGGATGCTATAAAATTTCTGTATTTTCTCTCGAAGGAAATCGTTTAATTCTGGTCTCCATTTGAATTATCACGAATGTATGAAATAAAACAGCAAAAAGACGCCAATTACCCGCACACAGTTTTTTCCGACTGAGCCGTGGATTTTGTATCTTTTTACGAAACGTCAAAGTAATCCGCGTGTAGTAAAAACACAATACATGAACGTATAGAGAGATTACCCTCGACATTCGCATTTCATTCGTTTAATTAGAGATCGAAAGTACCAGCGCAACTTCGTAACACGTATACAGTGTTCTCCCAGATTGCATTTTCTTTTTTATTTAACATTGAAGGGAGGAAATTAGATTTGTATATAAAGTACATGGGGTGCGAAAATTCAATTATTTTTAAGTTTCCTTCGTCGAACAAAAATTTATCGTTTCGCTCAGACAGTTACTGTTGCAGGGCATTCAGTTGGTACTCGCACTTTAGCAATTTTCTCAGTTTAGTCGGGACCCACCTCTTTCCGCTCTGTATTTGAAGTTGGCGGAGTGATTAGATGTACAGAGTTGACTCTCTCAGCATCGTTTACTCAACGCGAGGAAATGACGAAATTTTCTCCCTTTCACTTAAGCCCAAGGAGAACGAAATAAGCACTTTCTGTTATTTCATATTATTTTTGTGCCCTCGTAATTCACTTCTGTGTGATATTTGATGGGAAAAGTAGACTTCGGAGGGAGTCCTACTCTTCGATATTATGCTGTCACTGTTATACTGGAAAAATGATATTTACGAGGATTGCTTTACAGAAGTCGCTTGACATGTTGATGACTTGTGCATACATGGAAGTGACTTTCTTTATTTTTGAATGAAAGGGGTGAACATATTTCTCTTTATGATTCACGTTTGTTACTCACATTTGCGGATTCATTAAACTTTATTCATTTCCAGTGTTTGGACAAGTTATCAGATTGTTCTCTCCGTTATGCTTCGTACATATTTGCTAACGGTTCCCGTAATTTCTCTAAATACTTGCACATTTGAATTGTCATTTATTTTTTCGGTGGATTTACAGAAGTTGGATAACAGAAACTATAGTAGCTACTCTCGAAAATCGAAGTAGTTAATTAGTCTCTGAATATTTTTGCAGTTTCTACTATTTCATCTTATTTATTATCCTTGTAATCCGCTACTGTGTGATCTTCGAAGCGAAAAATAGTTTGAGAGGACCTCTTTTTCCCTTCAACATTACGCTGTCACTGTTATACTGGGAAAATGAAATTTACGCGGGTTGGTTTACAGGTGTCGTTTGACATGTTGATGACTTGTGCAAACATGGAAGTGACTTTCTTTATTCTTGCATGAAAGGGGTGAACATATTTCGCTTTATGATCCGCGTTTGTTACTCACATTCGCGGATTCATTATACTTCATTCATTTCCAGTGTTTGGACAACAGTTACCAGATCGTTCTCTCAGCTCAGAATTGTCAGTTAATTTTTTGATGGATTTACAAAAATTGGATAACAGAAACTGTTGCAGCTACTCTCGAAAACTGAAGTACTTGCACTATTTGTTTTTATATTCACCTTTGTGAATGAAATTCTTACAAAAAACGATTGTAGGTCAGTGAATTTGTGTATCATGACATCATCTTACTCGCTGCTGACTAGGATACAGTTGTTGTCTTACGATTGTTGGTCTCCATGTATTTTTGCAGTTTCTGTTTTTCATCTTATTTATAATCCTAGTAATCCGTTTCTGTGTGATAATCGAGGCGAAAAATCGAGTTTGGTGGCAACAGCTCCCTCCTTTCAATATTATTCTGTCACTGTTGAACTGGGAAAATATAATTTACGAGGGTTGGTTTACAGAAATTGCTTGACATTTTGATGACTTGCGCAAACATGGAAATGACTTTCTTCACTCTTTAATGAAAGAGGTGAATATATTTCGCTTTATGAGGCGCGTTTGTTACTAACATACGCGGATTTATTATACACCATTCATTCCCAGTGTTTGGAGAACAGTTATTGGGTCGTTCCAAACAGTTCTCGTAGTTTCCCTAAATACTCACACATTTGAAATACCATTCAATTTTTTGGCAGATTTATGAACACAGATTCTGTAATATCTACTCTCGAAAACCGACGCGCTTACACAATTTGTGGGTCGCGAAATTAAAGATCACAGTGGGCCAGTGATTTTTTTTTTTGTGACAACTGCTCACCCGTCCTTTGCTATACAGTCCTTGTCCCGCGACTGCGAATGTCTCTGTGTAATTTTGCAGTTTCTGTTATTTTATATTTTTTTCGTCCTCGTAATCCGCTTTTGTGTGATAATCGAAGCGAAAAATGGAGTTCGGAGGAAACTCCCCCTCTGTCACTCTTAGATTGGAGAAATAAAATTTACGAGGGTTGGTTTACAGAAGTTTCTTGACATTTTGATGAATTGTACAAACATGGAAGTGACTTTCTTTACTGTTGAACGCAAGCGGTGAACATATTTCTCTTTATGATCCGCGATATTTTTCGTATCGCAATTACGAGATGAACATGTGCGGAGATTTTTCAGCATTTGCTACTAACATTCTAGGATTTATCATCATTCATTCCCAGTGTTTGGAGAACAGTTATTGAGTTATTCTCTCAGGTGAGCGACGTCCATGTTTGCAAACGAGTTCCGTAGTTTGCTTAAATCCTCACACATTTGAATTGTGATTCAATTGTTTGTTGGATTTTTAGTAGATTTTGCCGTATCTGCTTCTGAAATCCAAAGCACCCGCACAATTCGTGGCTTTTATCTCCTTTGTTAACGAAATTATCGTAGAAGATCGCGGTAGGCCAGTGCATTTTCGTCTCATGACAACAGTTCATCCGTTCTTGGTTATCGTCATTGTTCCACAATTGTGGGTATCACCGTGTATTTGGACTGGTTCTGATACCCAGGGGTAATTCGCAGCCGACTTTCAAGTAACGCGTCATTAAAAATTATTGAAAATTTCCAGCTGACGAAATTCAAACCCACGGCCTCCCGGGCATTTCGGAATGTAATGACATCACCGGCATAGCTATAGAAGTAGACGGGGTAGAAAATGATCCGTGGGGAAAAAATGTTGCCCCCGAACCATTATAAAAGTCGTGAAACGCGCCCACGAAGGATATCAGCCATTTCAGTGTAGCCAAATACATTTCTGCCGTAAATTCCTCGAAACAGCTGGGAATATTCAATACTCGATTCATCCTGAATTCAGAATTATGCCATAAATTACCCTGGATAATTATCACAACTTATATTGACGGTAGCAAGGAATGAAATATTCAGTGTTGGAAATTCAATATCAGTCAGGAGCTGAATTATTTGCATAATGAATGTGTCGAGTTATTTGATGAAACTATCAATCTGGTTTTGACTAACTAAATGTTCCCCTTCAATACGGGTATTTCGACTATACCCAGTGTTTGGTATGGCGTTTGCATATTTATGTGAAGTACTAATTGAGGGGGCAATAATGGGCTGGTGGATGGCCCTCGGTACTCCGATGACCCTTTCGCAGGTTTGCTGTGGAGTTTTCTCCCCATTTTCTCATCCCTCAAAAGATCTTTCATCTTTCATTTTCTTACGCACATTTTTTAATTCAGAGAAAATATCAAGGATGGGAAGCTTCATGGAATTTCACGCGTATTGACATGTTTCATATAAATTTCTTTGGTCATAATAGAACATTACAATGGTCCATATTTATATGTTTTTTTTTAAAGAGTGATAATCTCTTTTTTACCGTTTCATCCGTAATTTCGAATTGCTAGATCACTGCGATGCACTTTGTCCTTTCAATTTCACACGTAATTCTCACCGGCACTTGCACACAGCACTGCTTTCGAGTTTATTTCAATATTACTCAATTGATTATAACTATTCACAACGTAATTGAATAGAGAAAATTTACTAATGACGTTTATAAAAAATATTGCAATGAAGAGTTCACAATAATGCACCATGTTGGAGTGTCCTTCAGGGTGTAATGGCGAGATGATGCTTAAGATTATAACGGCAGTAGTCTCTTCCGAGAATGTCCTCGTTAGGGATGTCTTCCTCCAATGGCTCCATGCCATCTGCTGCCATTCGATCTCTTATCTGCAATCAATTGGCAAGATGTTACATTCATTGTCCCATTAATTTTCCATTTCAAGGGAATACAGAATTCATTAATCAATAAAAATAAATATTAAAATGCGCGAGAGGTGGGGAAATTCATGTCTGAATCATCATGTTGAAACGAACGATTTACTTTGGGCTAATCTAAGGGTGTATCATTAAACAGCTAATCAAATAAAAATACCTAAAGCATCACTTTTATTTAAACATTAGAAAAACATTTGGACACATGATTTTTTTACTTCCACACCCTTCAATTTCCCTAAATTGAATCTTCCGTTGGCGAACTCTCCGCTAGTTTCAGCTTCATCGCTAAATTACTCGTTAATCTGAATATTTTTATATAAAAATGATTCTTTGACCGTGAAATTATGTCTTCTGAAGTCTGTTCGAAAAAAAAATCAAATTTCACGAAAAATTCAATGAAATTTTACTTATGAATTTTCAATAAAAATATCACTTGATAAAAATTTCAAAAAGTTTACCGGAAATGTCAGCCAAAAATTTTTAACAGTATATTTTACTGGTCTTTACCGTGATGAAGAGAAAGCATCAATTATGATGAACCCTTTGAAATTAATGGCATGCCGTGAATTCTCTTAAAAAATGAAAACCTAATTGCAATGTGAAAAGAGAGTATACACAGCGCGTAAAAAATCTCGTCAGTGGTCTCTTCATAATGAGCGCCTTTTCGTTATTTTATATTTTCATCTTTGTGTCTCTATATCGCATTACACTCGGTCAAATTGTGGTTTGTTTCATGAATTCTAATGAATTAATCATCATATTCCGTTCGTGTAGATTGAAAAGCTTTCCCCGGTGAGTCTCTTCATAATATATTCAACAGACATTATGTGATTGCACTTTTGACGAAAGAGTATGCATAATCTCTTTGACAAAACAATGAGGGAATTAAACGGAATTAGGGAAATAGAAAATATCCTAGGACGTACTGTCATCATCCTTTTCGGTAAAGAAGAAAAACTACATACTTTAATATAAATCATACAAACTGAGACTGACCTGTTCAACTGATTTGAACACTCTAATTAGATTAAGACCAGCGAGTTTCTGAATGTCTTCCTCCGACCAGCCTTGTGCCAAGAGCTCAGCAAACAGTTCTGGGTATTTACTTACATCTTCAAGACCTGCAGGTGTTCTGAAATGAAAGATGAAGAAAGTGTAAGGATGACAAGGAAATTCTCCCTTTGATTTGAGAGGGAGCGCTTTACTTATTGCAACTTTCCACCGTTTTACCTTAGACGGGGAATGCAGCGAAATATTGCGAATTAAAGAGCGACGCAGAATTTATTCCTCTTTTGCCCTTCAGTTCTTCCGTCTCCTCATAGGAGTTAATAAAATCATATATTGTGATTTTTTTTTCAACTCAGGTGGAAAAAGAAGGGTGAGTTATTCTGTAACAGACTAGATGATCTAGCCGCGGACATACTTGGAATTCTGAGGATTTTAAAGAATCTGTCACAGTTTCAGTCAGACCATATTATGAATTTTTATTTAAATCACATTTTTCTTGATTTACTCTTCCTTAATCATTCCCTGCGAAAAAATGTTTTTACTATAAAGGCATAGTGAAGTGAAAGCTTTGATCTTAAATTGTACATATTGGAGAGCATCCCTTTCAATGAAAAAAGAAATAATCAAAGCAGTTGGATACCATCAATGTTCAAAGGACAACAAGAAAATCCTTTCCTTCAGTAGGAGGGAGGAGGGGGTACTTCTCTTATTGCAACTTTCTATGGTTTTATTTTATTTAAAAGAAGGAAACATTGAGTGTAATATTGCGAATGGAAGCGCGATGGGAAATTCATTCCTCCTTTTTTCTTCAATTTTTACTCTCTTTCATAGGAGTTATTAAAATTCTATATTATGACTTTTTTTTCTTTGACTCAGGTGGAAGAAGAAAGGTAAATAATTTCGTGATATGATGACACCGTCAGTTATTTCATTGGAACCTTATTGTTTTCAATAATTTAGAAGTATTGTTGAGTGGATTTTTTGGCTTCAGAGTGAGTATACCGCCCATTTTTTGCATTTACCTTCGTTCATCACAGTAAATATATAGGGTCTGATTCCATAACCGGATCACTGACGGTATTCGTAATCCGGAAGATATTCAAGGATCTGTTACAGTTTCATACGGAACATATTATAGATTGGGAGATTTTAATTCGAATCACATGTAGTTTGGAATTACTTCTCCTTACTCACTCCCTGGTGATCAATATCCTAGTTATAAATAGATGAATTCCCTCAGCATGGGATGATTTGTGACGATTTCGAAACCAATTACAGTCGACTCCCTCCAACTTCTCACCGATCAGGGACGGCGGGGAGAGTGTCCCCCCACTTTTAGCGCACCGAGTGTGCATGAGTGAAATATGGGTATCCCTCTGCGCCAAGAAAGTGCGCATTGTAATTTGGGGCTATTTACGAAGTAGAGTAAGCTACCTAGTAGATGGACACTGCTCTATAGATAGATGAGCTACTTTTGGATAAAAAATTACGACAAAAAGATACTGAAATGTGAATTGTTGCTTTGAATTTTCACTAACTGTGGTAATTCTTAACCCCTGAATGGCGATTTTTTTTCAATTGCTAAAAAACAAACATTCATTTACTGGGCGGTTTACCCCAAATTAAAAAGTGAATAGACAGTAAATGTGTTGAATGATGACATCCTCAGTTAACTATTGAAACAAGCTTGATGAAAAAAATGTCAAAGCACTTGGATATCCTATATTATTTTCAAAAGACAACAAGAAAATTCTTTCTTTGAGGGTCAGAAGTAGGGATGTGCAAAAATTTTATGTCCAATTAGTTACGACATTATCGCTCGACCGTTATATTCTATCTTAATAGTAGAGACGTTCAGAAGGGGAAAAAGTTTAATAGAAACGTTGATAAAAAGTATCGAGTCGTTGATTTGACCAAATTTTCTGATCACACTCCTAGCGATTACATCCGATATTTCATGATGGCTTCTCAATTTTGTGACACAGATTCTATGTGACCATCATATACCATCTCAATAGCGGAAATAAGGTGATAGTACTCAAATTATGATAAAAAAATGTGGCGTCATAAGAAAAAAAAAAATGATGGTCTTTTTCACATCTCCAGTCGGGAGGGAGGGGATTATAATTCACTTATTACACCTTTCTCCTAAAATTTCTCTGAAATATTGCGTATTGAAGCGAGACGCGGAATTGATTCCCCTTTTCTCCCTCTATTTTTTCTTTCCTTCATAGGGATTCATAAAATTCCATATTATGAAATTTTTTTTCATCTCAAGTGGAAGGAGAGAGGAAATTCAACATTTATGAACCCCCGGGGTTTTTCCACATCAGCCTAGTGGGTGGGAGATCCCTTATAATCCACTACCTGTGAAATCAGTGGTTCAAAACCACGAAAAAATCAATATCGTCGGGACGTGATAAAATGTCCTCACCCGCAATCTCTCACGACGTCGAAATCCCATTCTGTCGGCTGGAGTGTTCAAGGTGTTTAAATTCTTGAATGGAAAACTCAATTTACATACCAAATGTACTGTTTCCCGAAAGAAGCGGGGACTACTAATGGCACGACGGCCAATTACGTTTCATTACATGATGTATCTCGTATGAAATTTCAGAGTCGTTTACGACCATTTCGTCGCGTTTGCTGCTATCTCGAATTAAATGGGTTTCACGTGACCAGCCGCATTCAATTATTTACCCACCTTACCGTGGTACCTGTGATAGTAATGGGTTCAGGTAGTGTTCAGGTGATTTTCTCTTTATTTCAATTTGCAGGAGGTTCATTTCAAGGAATATGATATAATAATATTGAGTTTCTCGTTTTTTTCTGGACGCCTGAGTATTTTTTCGATTTTTCTTTAGAAAATGGAAGCAAATTTTTTTTAAAAACGAAGCCTTTTCTCAAATTTTGTAAAAAAAATTTAGGATTTTCTCAAATTTGTTAGAAAACCCCGAGAATTTCCGCAAATAGCTGAAAATTTTTTAATTTTTTTTTGTCACTGCTGCTACGTTCAACCCGTGTGAAAACGTTTCGTTTACTAGTAAACGAAAAATGGCACAGTTCGGCACTCGCTGAACGTAACATCACTAACAAAAAATATAGTTCGGATACACGTGCGACGGAATGTTTTAATTCGTGTGATTGGCAGCCCTCGGCTTCGCCTCGGGCCGCCAACTTCACACTCGTTACCACCCCGTCGCACTTGTCTCGAAATATACTATTTCAAACGCGAGAACTTTCGGGATTTTACAGAAAATTATTGTTCTCTAAATATCGTTGAAAATATGAATTTTTTAAAAGTCTAAAATTTTTCACGTATTATTTTGATTGCGATCTTTAATATTCGTTTCCTCAAAATTTCGCAAACAGCATTGAGCCCAACATTGAAAAGAACCTATAAAGGACCGTGTAATTTATATTCCATATCCAAACGTGAACTCTAAACTAATTAAAAGTAAAATCCCATTGAAATCTTTGCAGAAGTTTTTCTATGAATCGCGCATGAGGGCAACGGATTTTATGTAAGATCATCATCTGTACTTACAAATTAATTCCATCATACCCCGCACCAAGTCCCACGTGGTCTGTGCCTGCCACTTTTCGTACGTGATTAATATGCGCTGGAACATAAAGTGGATAATTGAGTTTTAGCGTGAAATATTAGTTGTATATTTCCGTTTCGATGCATAACGAATATGAAGCGTTATAGGCAATTGGGAAGGTATGCAACAAGTTATTGCAGTGTTGCTGCAGATTTCACAATTGCCTATAGCTTCTCGATTTTGCAGTTCTATTTGTGTGAAATAACAACCATTAATAGTGTTAGTCAACGTACACTGTTCGAAAAATTTAGGTCGAAGTTTCTGATAAACTTATTTTAAATTTTTATTTCGCTATAGTTCCTATGAAATTTCAACGAATTCTGTTATTAAAAATGCGAAATTTCATGGAAAAATCTGTTGGGTAAATTTCAGTTCGATTATTCCCTGGAAATTCGTAGAAATCAGCACAATTCAGGTGAATATATTCATGAATGTTGAATCGATGCAAAATTCAGCGTAATTTGTTGCTGAATATTTATATTTTCATTGATAATTCAAATGAGTTGAATTTAATTTTTCACTGGAACCTGAAATTTTATGATTTTTCTAGTCAACTGTCCATAAAATTTCAACTTTTTTCCAACAATGCACACTGTCAGAAGTTATTTGAAATTTCCAGGAAGGTATTGTAGTAAATCTTATGAGAGTGCCACTTAATCAAATTTAACAAAAAAAATGGTTTTATGAATTTCAAGTTTTAAGTAGGAGTGAGATGGACATTTTACAACTTGATTGAATTTTCAGTGGAACATGAATATTCAGAAACAAAATGACATGAATTTAAAATTTTTCCCTAAATATTCATGATTTTTCTGAATTTTACAAAATAATTAAACTAAAAAATCAAGTATTTTATTGATTTCCAGATCATTTGATCATCAAATTCAATCAATTTCATTAGAATTACAGTGGAACTTGAACACAATAAAAATTTCCGGAATTTGGCGGCAAATTCAGACGATAATTTTTAACAGTGCAGTTAGTATTACTCGTCCGTCTTTCACATCTCCTGATTTTAATAAAACCATCTTATGCATCACCGCAATTGTTGAAATGACTCCCATAAACGTTCATACACATTCATTCCACAGCAGACTAAATAGTCAGCAGCTACTGAATTCTCAAGTTTCGAAGGAGACTCAGACACACCATGAGTTTACGACTGAGAACGAATAAATATCAAAGCTGCAAGACGCCTCTGCCAAGCGTCTTAGCATTCAAATGATAAATTGAGAAGTCCCGGAGAACTAACACCACACTCCGCCCAGAGAATGACTAATTCCATTGCTTAAGAAGTTTATCAATACCAGCTATTGTATTCCCCGGCTATTTCTTTTCCAACTTTATCAAGAACAACTTCAGGACTCGACACTGTCGAAGGATTTCGGGGAAGAGTTTAATCTGTGATTCCCATCAATCTCACCACTCCTCGCAACATTGAATTTCCACTTGATGCTCTCCAAAACCAGAGGCTTGAGGAAGTTTTATCTCCCCTCAAGCGACACATTTCGCTCGAAACTACATCAATAATTAATTAACATGCTCTGTAAATGTAGAATTGTTAATTTCCCTAGAAACTCAAGATTAATCTCAACGAAATCTTCGCTGGCATTCAACTCCTCAAGACTTGTTACCTTAATTCAACGGAGATTTACCAAGATTTGTTGGCATTGCTGTAAGAAAGATAACATCGGCATTGACAAAGTTCAGTCTACCTTGAATCCTTGTGATGAAACTTTCCCCCGAGGATACCAAAGTTTATCATTGATAGAGTGTACGACCGCGGCGATTGAATCAAATGAAGCTCACTCTAATTACAATGTGGCAAATGCTCTCAAATAGTTCCGGCAACATCCTTTCACAAAGCTAGTATGTTATACTTTGAAGTTGTGAGGGATGAAAGGCAATCCATCTATTTTCCACCGACATATTTGCAATTCTATTGGACCATTGAAGTTCACGGCAGCATAACGAATATTGTGCAGAATAAAAAAGTCTCACTCCAAATGGAACTAAAAGAGATGTGGAAATTGGCGCCACGAGCTGTCAGAGAACTCTGATTGAAAACTATTCCAGAATTAGGTGAGACCAACTCGATACAACCACATCTGGTTCACTTGAATGCACTTTGAGTTCTAGCAATAAAGTTTGCTTTTTAGTTGTTGCTGTAAACTTTCAATTTTATTCAATTCGAGGGCTGCTACAGAAATACTGGCTGTGCTACTCCATCATCGAGGGGATTATCTACGGGTATACAAGGCATACAGGACCACTGGTCTGTGCATTACACGTTAAATGCAATGAACGCTAGACGTAAAATTTTGTCAGGTTGAAATTGAATAGGGCGAAGCATTCCTGAGAGTGAAGTTTGTTGAATCGTCATTCTAATCTCGCTATTTTAATCCGCCAGGATATCATTTCATTCTGTGGGGTTCTATGAGCGGAATGCAAAGGATAAATAATTCAGTGGGACACAGAGAATGCAATTTTTTGGAAATTACCGCAGAGTTTCAGGAATTGTATCGCGTATTGGTCGTTCAGAAATTTCGAACTCTAGCTGAAACAAAAATTCTTGAGCCGAGAAATTCTCACTTTATGGTGATGTTGTTCATGTTCAGATCATAAACATTTTAAGGAATTCGCAAGACAATTATATTGGATTTCTATTAAACTTTATATTAGTTTTGGCCGATTCTATTGAAATTGTCAATAGAAAATATTCTGTTGAAAAATAGAATTTGATTTTTCCATACAACTTTTATTCTATTTCTAAGTTTCTTTTCATTGCATTTTTCTTTTTTTTTCGTCACGAAAATCAAATTAAAAAACTTAGAAAATTTAAGCTGAGGAAATTCCATAGAAAATATCTCAATAAGAATAATTTCTATTGATGAAAATATTAGAAAGTTGAATTGAAATCCAAAAGAACTGTCTCGTGAATTCGCTAGGTTTTTCTATAAAAAATTTTCAAACGTGCGACGATACATTTGGGACAAGAAATTAATTTTTGTGATATCAGGCCGTTCTTCCTCTCCCTGCAAGAACATTGACAAATGCCAACAGAACGAAACTTACCGACAACGTCGTCCAGAGTTGATCTCTCTCCGCAGCTAACAAAATGCGGGTAGAAAGATACCATCACTATACCTCCCGATTGTGCCTGTGAAATATTGAAAAAGGTTGATTTCCCTCCAGTTCTATTTGAATCTCTCTACCATTCGTCTCAATGGAAATCGCACAAGGAGAGATGAAAAGAATATTTACCAGCAATCGAAGTGCATGATCGGGCACATTTCTCGATGAATTGCAGAGTGCATGTGCACTGCTGTGACTGAAAATGACAGGCGCTCTGGACACCGCCATGGCATCCAGCATCGTTGGCACGGATACGTGAGAGAGATCCACCATCATGCCTAGTCTGTTCATCTCCCAGACTACACTCTGTCAGGAAAACAGAAAAGAATTACATGGAGTTTGGTAATTTGCATAATTTCTTAATTCAATGTTGATGAAATTGAAAAGTTCCCGAGCGAAAATAAAAAATGCTCATCATTTTCGTGCTCCAGGTGGGCACTGAAGGACATGAATGTGACTTCCGGCCACTGGTCCCAACTTGCCCAGGCAAGCATCTATACGCAGTGTTGGAGAAGTTTAACAAATCAGTTTAAGTTTTTTATGTACCCAGGCCAGATCCGCCGGAAGGAACTGTGCATAAGAAGTGAAACATTGCTCTCTCCTATCTCTCGAGTTGTAGACGTATGACCACAATTTTTTCCTGGAGTTTATTGCGCACTGATGAATATCTCTCTAATTTTTGAATGTCTCATTTGTTATTTCAGGCTCTTTCTTCAAGAATTTTTAGGGCTAGCCTGGGGACTACACGGAGAGAAATTTTCTAGAAAAATTCTAGTACGAGTGCTAGAAAAAGTCACAATTCACTGGCTGTGAAAAATTCTAGTGCTGTTAAGGTATAATTTCTTGGTATTTCACTTTGTCACTTTGCGTCTCTTTTCCCGTGCTAGCAATAGAATTTTTCTAAAAAATTTCTCTCCGTGTATTGGCACCTTTAGGATATCCAAGTATCTTTTACAGTTTGGTACAGACCACAGTATACAATGAGAAAAATCCGTTGTCGATTTCAAAGGCGCGCTCGACTACTGTGTAGATGTATTTTTTTATCGAACGAATAGTAAGATATCTTCCGCAAAAGTTATTTTTTATTGAACTACAATGTCGCTCCACGATTACCGTTTGTCTAGTGAAATTTGCCACAATTTCTTAGTACTTTTCATTCAAATTTTATCACCGTGTACACTGTTAAAAAATTTTGTCTGAATTTACCCTGCCAAATCCTGGAAATTTTTATCGTGTTTAATTTCCACTGAAATTTCAGGAAATAGTGATATTGAAAAATCAACTATTCCATTAATTTTCGATTCAAATGATCTGAAAATCAATAAAATACTTTATTTTTCAGTTAATTCGTTCCGTGAAAAGTCAAAAAAATCTGGAAAATTCAGGGAAAAAGTGAAAATTCATATCATTTTGATTCTGAATATTTATGTTCCATTGAAAATTCAATGAAGTTGTGGAATTTCCATCTCACTTCCACTGAAAACTCATGAATTTGTTTGAATTCTACCGAAAACTTGAAATTTCATAATCATTTTTCCCCTAAATCCGATTCAATGTCACACTCATGAGAATTACTATCATATTTTCCACCCCCATTGTAACAAAGATTTTACTGGATCTTTATATACAATTAATAAACTACTACTACTACCACTATCATATTTTCCATGAAATTTCAAAAAATTTTCAACAGTATAAAATTAATAACTCTAAATCTTATAAATCATTATGTGAACCAAAATGGAGGATTATTTTACGTTAATTAATTAATTTTCCTTACCGTCTAGCCATTGATTTAATTTCTAACTAATAAATTCTTTATTTGGATCAAAGAAGCATTCATTTATGTTTGAAGAAGCATTTATTTGATGTGCATAAACCCGTAAATAAAAATCAATTTTTATTGCGAATTAATTAAATAGATCCAGTGACTGAATTCAAATAAATCATTTTTCGGGGGCCACCCTTCTTTATCCCAAGTATCAAGTAGTTTGAGACAACGTTACGTCGACCGCTGACGTGCAACAGTACAACACGCAGCGACACTCAAATGGTCAAGGCCTAGAAGGTATTCCACTAGTTGTATATCTGCTCGTATATCTCAATTCGTGATTGTGGGGTATTTAAACGCCACGTATATAGTCATTTGAAGACACGGGGGAAGTGGGATGAATGCAGTACTTGTGCGATACTTAAATGAAACATGCCATATACACAACGGTCACGCGGCAGCACCACTCGACTTCCACGCAGGAACTTCGCTTGCATCGTTTAAATACCGCACAGTTGAGAATTTTTTCACATTTTCAATGTTTCGCTCCGGCTTTTACTATTTATTTTGTCTGTAAAGGGAAGTTTGACCCGGGAAAAAATCTTTTCTTTTTTTAAGGAAGCAATTTTGAAAGTCCTATTCTATTTCAAATTTTGAAAACCCAAACGTAAATTATGTTCAAGTCGTCTTTTATGCGTTCTGAAGGGTATTTTATGTTTGAAGTGGAAGCGTAAATTACCATTACCTAAGCGTAATTTACGGTGTCGTATTCGTAAATTATGATGTTTTTTTCCGTATTTTATTCAAGTATTTTTTACGGTTTGATGCCGACCACACTATAAATTTAAACATTTTCAATCATGAAATTTATCAATTAAATTGCGGGAAAAAATTTTGAAAGAAAACATGAATATTTAGCCTCATTGAAATTACATTTTGCACAGAATTATTATTTTTTTAAACATTCGTTGTTTATAAATAAATCATTGAAATTATTTAAACTTTCGAAAACCTTATTTTTAGGCATGGAATCGATTTCTGACAGAATTCTGCATATGAATAACTTTGTTACGATGCAGAACAAATTATTTTTACGGTGGAAAGTTAATTGTTTATGAATTATCTATAGAAAATGCTCGCAATTTTCAAAAATTACTATTTTTAAACTATTTCATCAATCGCCCTCCAAAAATAAATTTTCTATTTTTTTTTAGATTTTTAAAATGTTTTCTAACGGTTCAATATCGAGATTCAAATTGAGACCGGCAAAGTTTAAAGAATAGAATCATTATAAAATGTTCAGAAATTTAGGGTTAAATGGGGCTCAAATAAATGCTCTGATGTTCGATTTCAATAGTAGAAAAGCGTTTCACTGATGAAAAAATCGCCAAAGTACTTGGATGTCCTTAAGCGTCGAATACAAAATTTTTTTAATAGACCTTTTTGAAGCCAAAATTTTTATGACGACAAAAAAGTCACCAGACATCATATTGTCGTTAAATTTAAATTTCGTTTAGCAAAATGCAATTTACGTGCAAATTTTTCAACATAGAAAATCATGCGAAAACCGAAAATGCATTTTTCCCTCCCCTTAATGTATTCGAAAATATTATTTGAACACTAATTTGTTTGATGGAGCTCTGTAAACAGAATAGTTCTATTCAATTCCTCCTGAAAACAAGAAGATCCGTCCCCCGCGGTTAACCACGTAGATATAATTACGGAGATATCAGGCTCTCATTAATTACCGGAGTAACACGTACGCACATTCGGCGCTGTTGGAGTGCCACTGGATTTCCAGTACAATTCTAAACGATATTTTGATGCAACTCCGTACATTATATTTTATCAATTGTTACGGAACTTATCCGACCAGTTCTCGGCTGAATGGACCTTGATTTTCATGCATACCATTCATGAATATTTACTCACACTGACTTCGTGATAAATCAAATTATATAACAGGAAGGATTGAATTCAATTGAAGCAGTTAATGTAGTCAGTCAATTACACATTTAGTTGGATGATTTATTTAATCGATTATGGAGAAAACTTTATGATAGAAATAAATGATTATCATTAGTACGTATAATCGAGTGGAATAAGATGTGGAATCGATGGACATTCGTCCATTATTCGAAAAAATATGGGACATTTAAGAAATTAAACAGAAAAAACAAGAATAAGGAGAAGAAGGGAAAGGATTAATGGAGCAATTAAATCTTTATGCGGTGCTCTTCGAATACTTCGTAACTTATTGAATTGTTATCCTCACAGCAGTCTGAAATTTCCCGTCATAAATCTTTGGGATAGTTTAGAGAACTGGTGGAACTTCTGTTTTTTCTGTGAGGAAAAGGGGACGCGAAAAGAATTGCATTTGCGATTTTCTTCATTGCAAATGGACATAAAATTTTGTGTGACATCACAGTGAAAGCAACCCCGTCTCCCCCTTTCGTCACAAATCGACACAAATCGTCCCAAACTACAGACTTCTTCTAACCTTTAATCATGAGACGTAATATTTGAGTGGCCACATTTTTCTGCGAAATCTATGAAATTTAGTTATCTTTAACCCAGAGAATGAACGAATTTTAATCAAATGAAACTCTTTATTTGAGGTTTTTCTATTCGTTTCAACAATATTTTTGGTGTAATCAATAAACTTATATATTAATTCTAATGAAAATGTTTTAATTATATGAAATAAGTTGATCTTTTATCTGAATAAATTCGCTGTTGGAATTGATAAAAAATTTCTTTGATCCGAATAAAGGATTGTTATATGGGAATAAATTCGTCGTACTCACCCTTAAACAATTATGTAATTTCACGTCAATAGAATCTTTATTTCCATCAAGAAAACATTTGTTAAAAACATCCTCTGATGCGACTGATAGTGTAATCTAAATCAAATTCACGTTTGACTAAAAGCTTCATTAAGAGCTTAAGAAAACCAATGATTCAATTTAAAAAATTATTTAAGTCAAACAAACTATTTTTTGGCTGTAAGATAAGTGCATTTTTTCAAAATAATAATTGCTGACATCAATCGACTTTAAGGATATCCAAGTATCTTTTACAGTTTGGAACAGATGCCACTATAGATTCAATCGTTTTCAATCATCAAATATGTCAATTAAATTACATTTTTAAATGCTGGTCATTTATAAATACATAATTGAAATTGTTTAAACTTTCGGAGACCTTATTTTCTTAAGGTTGAACCTGATTTCTAGTAAAATTCTGAATATGAATAAATTTGTTACGATTCCGAACAAGTAATTTTTATGATGGAAAATTTATTGTTTATAAATTATTCATAGAAAATGCTCGTAATTTTCAAAAATAGCAATTTTTTAATTATTCCATCAGTCTACCTCCGAAAATAAACTTTCTAATTTCATTTTCCGCTTTTAAACTGTTTTCTCACGATTCAATATCGAGATTGAAATTGAGAACTGCAAAGTATAAATAATAAAATCATTGTAAAATGTCCGAAAACTTGAGGTCAAATGGGGCTCAAAAAAAACCTCTAATGTTCGACTAAAAAAGTAGAAAAGCATTTCACTGGAGAAAAAAAGGCTCAAAGTACTTGGACATCCTTAACTCATCTATCTGAGCTTTCCCCTCCGCCACATAAATACAAAGAGAGCAACAAGCGAAGACAATGAAATAACGACACACCAATTAATGTAATAAAACCAAAAATTGTACTCACTTTTCCAAATCTAGAAAGTCCACCGACGTGAGGCACTTGACCAGGCTCGTCCGCAGTACTGCAGTCTGCCCTACCGAACCAACACGTCAGTAACTCAATAGCGACAATCGTATGCATTTGTTGGAAATGGATGATCAAGGGTTAGGGGGGGGCTAACTGTGCACTGGGTGAAGTGGAGCAGCGAATATAGGAGGACTAACCCTCCTATAACGGCGATAATCCCCTAATCCCCCTCAGTATGACTGCCTTCGTATGGAGTATAGTTCACCTCGGGTTATACGAGAATTGGAAACTGTTATGTCAATAACATTATTCATGTGAGGACACGCGACCGCGCTACCTGATTAGGTGTACGCTACTCCCATAAATTTTGAAAGGGACCACCCAGCGAACTAAGCGTTACAAAGGCTTTACGGAATATGGACAGATAGTATTCCACGCTATTATAATTCTGGATAAGTTATATTGCAATGAGAGACCATTTGTGGAAAATTTCATTCGCCAAAGGAGCTCAACATTTTCAATGGCTTTTTAAGAGGATATCGCAACGCTTCGTTCTCATAATTCACTCGGCTTTTGTAATGTCACAAAATGACTCGCTTCCTGTGTAGACGTTCATGTACCTCGACTCCCTGAAATTTACACGTTGATCGTGTATGCAAAACGGAAGATCTGAGGAATCTATGCGTTGTCGTGTCAAAGTGATCATGCAGGTACGTGTCGTGCATGGAGACCATTAATTTGCCCTGAAATTTACGGGCTTTATTAATTTTAGCACTAAATATTTTCGATGTACGTGAAGAACTTCAACAAGTTTCTTGGCTCAAGTGAATTATCCCGAGTGGGGAGGGAGGCTGATGGCGAAAAAAATGGGGAGTTGAACAGTTCCTTTATTTTCATCGCAAACTCTTTTACGTCGAGATATTCAGGGAGAAATTTAATCTGACTTTAATTTGGCCTTCTTCTTTAATTATTCGCTGGCATTATTTACGTTATTAGAGAAATTGTGAAAACAGGTACTAGTTATGACTGAAGAACAGAACAAATGATTTTTCAAGATTTGTTAATTATTGGAAATGGCTGAGTTGGATATGATTAAAGGAATATTAATAAGATAGTTAACAAGTGATTTAGTTGACTGAAAAATTATACAAATACGCCATTGGGCTCAAATGAATTAGCTCGAGAGGGGAGGTGGGCTGATGGCGGAAAAAATGGGGAGTTGAACAGTTCCTTTATTTTCATCGCAAACTCTTTTACGTCGAGATATTCAGGGAGAAATTTAATCTGACTTTAATTTGGCCTTCTTCTTTAATTATTCGCTGGCATTATTTACGTTATTAGAGAAATTGTGAAAACAGGTACGAGGTATGACATAAATATCAGAACTTGTCGGTCCCGCACTGCCAGAACAAATGATTTTTCAAGGTTTGTTAATTATTTGGAAATGGCTGAGTTGGATATGATTAAAGGAATATTTGCTGATAGTTAACAAGTTATTTAGATTAATTGATTTCAAACGACTTTGGCATGATTGTAAGATTTCAGCGTGATTTCAGTGATTTCGGATTGATTTCATCACAGAGTATAGCCCCTCGGTGAAATTAGGAGATCGTCAAAATAAACGACTACAGAACGTCCATTCGAAAGCAAGAATGACATTTATCACGCGGTCCCTACACTGTTAGAAAATTATTCCTGAAAATTCAAGTGAAAAAGCTTGAAATTTTTCACAACAACAAAGTTACATGAAATTTCTCTATATTGCTTCATTGACGAATCAGTTAATTTCTTGAATATTCAAATAATTTTTCATTTTTAGGCCCATGTGGTACTGAAAAACGTGAAACTTTACTCAATTTTCACAATGAGTTCGGGAATTGATGCTTTCAATGCAAAATTAATGATTGCTAACATGAAAACCCTATTTTTTTGAATTTGCAAAACGAATAAGAAACTTTGTGAACGCTTTCATTTGAAATCGAATTCAAACCTACAACATCGAAACTTCAGATAACGCTGACTGAAATTGCAAGAAATTTCTAACACTGCAAAGCCCCATTCGCCAGGAAATATTTTGTGGACTGTACGAGAAAAATAACAATTACGGCACCTGTGAAATCGCCATTTTTGTCACTCATTCTGCCACCCAACACCCAGCCATCACTCATCACATTTAATTCCTGGCGCGTATTGTCCCTCTGTTCCATAGACGATGTTACACGCTCAGCGTTAGAATTCTCGGAAACTCCGTTGCCAGGCAACCCACCATACGAACTGCAGTGGATTTAGCAAGGCAACGTGAAGCTATATGACAGAGTCGCAGGGATACAAACGCTTCACACAAGCATACAGACTCAGTCATCTCCACCACAGGAACGTTTGGTCAACATTGCGTATTCGTGGTATACGGGACCCTACACTATGCGGGTCATTGTTGCTTGTCGCTCTTTTCACTTGGTACACGTTTTTGTGGATGTAGCCCCGTTATGACTGTTATCATGCAGCTACATATCAGTTATGGTTTTTGAAGCACGAGCTTTTGATAGTCGATCGCTCTCAGCCATCATCGCTGATGATTTCAATTTTATCACCGAGTATCCTGTACACATTAAGCGATGCTATCGCGGTGTCACTTGCATCGACAGTGCCTTTTTTGGCGGTATGTGACCCCGATGGGATCGTAATCACTCATCGTCAATATAATCTACAAGGATTTGGGGTCTCTCGGTGGGTATCGATGCGGTTATCACATTCACCGTTGGCCTCGTATTTTACGAATTTTATTTCACTTTTATCTCTACATCCCACTGGGCAAGTTATTGTATTACGGTTATTCCTGGATTTTTAGTTCTCGTTTATTCTCAATTGTTATGACCCTGGTAGACCGCAATGGTCAACCAATAGACGGCGAAAAAAATTGCGGAGAAATCACTGGAACGCGGTAAAATGGCTTCATTTTCCAGGGGCAGCAATGGAAATTTTTCTGGGACAAGGGCGAAGTTTTTCGCGGTAAATACCTGAAAATTTTGTAGCCGGCGGTTGATTTTCCGGTTCTGGCATGTGAATTTTTCCGGGATCGTCAAAATGAAGCCATTTTACCGGGGTACAGCACAGTAATTTTTCTGGTCTTTTTTTCGCTGGGTACAGCTGGGATATCGCGTTTAATACACGTTCATAGTTGGAAAATTGATTACGTTCGGTTGAGCCATCAATATTCATTCTCACTGGGGATTTTTGTGTTGGACATTTCCATCATCCAGTGTTTCGAAGGTCATTTTGTCAAAATTTTCGTTTTTCAGGGAGAAAAAAATTGGAAAAAAGTAGCACGATGATAACGTGAAAATTACTTTCTAACATTTTTTGGTTGACATTTGCGGTGCACATCTTGATAATTTTTAAAAAGTGTGAATTTCATAATTGAAAAATCATAATTTGATGGAAGAATTGTTAAAAACTATAAATTTGAGTTTAGTAATTCCATGGAAATTAATGGAAATCAAAAAAATTCTGGCAAGAATTCCGTGTATTCCTAAAGTTTCAATTAAATGAAAGTTTAGTGTAATTTGAAATTAAATTTTCATGTACACAGTTAGAAAAAAAATGAAATTTCATGTATAATTCACCAGTAATTTTCAAGATAGTGCCACTGAGTGTGATTTAAGGGGAAGAAATCATGAAATTCCAGGTTTCACTGAAAATTCAATGAAATTCCAAAATTTTGAAAAGCATGTAGATGAGAATTCCTCAATTTATTTGAATTTTCAATGAAAACCTGAATATTTAGTGCCAAATTACACTGAACTGTTTCGTAATAATTTTCAAGAAATAATTTAACTGAAATTTACAGTTCTCATTGAGTTTTTCCCGAAATTCATAATTTTTAATGACGAAATTCCTTGAAATTTCAGTGGAACTTAAGGATATCCAAGTTCTTTGGCTATTTTTTCTCCAGAGAAATACTCTTTTACTTTTGTAGTCGAACGACAATTACATTTATTTATTTACTATAAACAACGAATGAATATTCATGATCGAGAGCCAAATTTCCGAAAAGTGTACCGGAAATTTCACCTAAAAATTCTTAACAAAATATTTGTTGAGTCGTAAATGCGGCAATTCTCGTATTCCTTCTGCACAATGAAAAATTTTTGGCTGAAACTTTCGTTACACTTCTTGGAAATTTTTATCATGTGACAGTTCTACTGAAATCGAAAAAAAATGTAATTGTAAAGTCAAAATTTCACAGCAAAATCAATGGACTCCGTAAATTTCTTTTTTTAACGATTACTAGTTGTCATATAACTACTTCGAATTGTTTCTTCGTGTTCTACTTGAGATAGTTTTTTCCATATCATTGATCTGTTACTTTGTGAGTCTGTCTGACGTGAGTGGCTTCATCAACAGGTTGGGGGATACATCACGCGGAAGATAATGTCCCACTTTTTTCCCCTCCTGTATTGTTACTGGGCTTCTGCACACATCCCCTCATACATTACCAAAAAGCAATTTATCTTTCGAGCCAGCGTTAAATCGAGGTGTTCCGCCTTGTTGGTTAGTCCTAGTCAAATCATAATTCCTCCGTAATGAGACTGTCCACAGAGGACATTTCCGCATCGACTAACGATAATTTTGATGACCCCCTGCGCGCGTTCCTCAATTGAATTATGATTGTGTCGCACATGGTGGCCGACACGTTTCCTCACTCGAAGTTTGTAAGCAGAAGTGATGGAAATCTATTGGTTCGGGTGGTAATCGGATTAACTGAAAGATCAGGTAATCGGGTGTGTAGCGCATCGTGATACTGATGACACACTTGGTGAGAAAAATCGGTGGGGAGCGGAGGAGGAAGAGAGCGTTAACGTGAACTCACTATTGAATACTTCTGGCTGAACATTTCGGTACATTTTTTGGAGAATTTTTCCAATCCAAATGTTAGCCAATACACCAATACAATAGCCAATACAATACACTGATAAAAAGGATTAGTTATTGTTAACAAATGGATTTGGTTGAAGTCTAGGGTCTATTCGGTGTCACCAAATGTTCATTCGTTAATAGTTAACAAAT